GATAGGTCGGGGTGGTTAAAAAATACGTCATATGTATTCCCCCTCGATATTATAGAAACGGTATTTTTTATTTTTTTGATATCTTTTTTGGTTTAAAAATTATAGCCATTGTAAATTTTCAGTGGCCCACCCTGTATATACAGGGTGGCGCACCTCATTCGCCTCGGTTGATTATACGAAAATGGAAAGATGTAGAAACAAAATATTTTATGGGTATATGTGGGGAGGTAATGTGCACAATTTAAAATTATTTTGAAATGTACAGGGTGTTTCAGAACTAAGATCCATACCAAAGTTATATTTTTTCTTATGTAACACCCGGTATTTTATTTTATTTTTGGATTCTTGGGCCCAAAAAAAGATATATATTATAAGGGTTAAATATGTTTAAAATCTTTGGTTTTTGAGATATTGAAAGATATTTAAATTGGCATGCTACAATAGAATAGATTATTAACACCCCGTACATCACTTTTCAGACTGAGTTCTTGTGCTGAGTTTAAAGGTAGATAAATAAACTTTACAAAAAAATGTTATTTCTGGCTTAAATTTATACAGGAGTATCAAAAATTGCTGGTCTATTTTAAATATTTATTTTACATAAAAACTTCATTATTTCAAATGCAAGACTATGTATTTTTTTAAATAAGTCGAAGCAGCTTTAAATGCTCTTTCAAACTATATTAGGGTTTCCTATACCTATCTGGCTCAGATTTTAAATAAAAAGCGATTTTTCAATAAAATTGTAATCAAGATAGCTAGTGTTGTCATGGCAAGTTTTTAGTGACAGTTAGTAGCTATTTTCAAAATCAAAATTAGTTTATGGACTTATTTAAATTTATACCAGTTTACTTTTATTTAATTTACCTACAATAGTTTAATAAATAATATTTATTAAATATGTGTTTATATTCTATCAAGAAAACGAAGAAGTAGTTTATGTACTTATTTAAATTTATACCAGTTTACTTTTATTTAATTTACCTACAATAGTTTAATAAATAATATTTATTAAATATGTGTTTATTATTCTATCAAGAAAAACGAAGAAGTAGTTCTTTGAATTATTTTACGATGACTTGTAGATATATGCATTTTCTATAAAAGAGCCAATTACGGCAAATTCATTTTATCAGGAAGATTCCTCTTTGGATATCTTTGAGTATAAGCCCTTGAGGCCAAGAAGCAATTTTCCTCACAAAATAATATCACTAGTAACATATCTATTCGTTCCACCAGCAGATACTGCTTTATTTCTCTTGATAAAGTAATAAATACTTACTTATTAAACTCTTGTAGGTAAATTTAAGTAAACTGTTATAAACTATAAATAATAATGTCCATAAACTAATGTCGACTTTGAAAATAGTTACTAACTGTCACTAGAAAATTGCCATGGGGACACCAGCCATCTTGATTACAATTTTATTGAAAAATCGTTTTTTATTCAAAACCTGAGCTAGATAGGTATAGGAAACCCTAATATAGTTTGAAAGAGAATTTGAATCTGCTTCGTTTTATTTAAAAAAATAGAGGGTGTTGCATTTGAAATAACGAAGATTTTATATAAAATATATCCATAAAATAGATCAGCAACTTTTGATAGCCCTGTATAAATTTAAGGAACCAATACCATTTTTCAGTAAAGTTTATTTCTCTACCTTTAAACTCAGTATAAGAATTAATTCTGAAAAGTAATGTACAGGGTGTTAATAGTCTATTCTATTGTAGCATGCAAATTTAAATATCTGTAAATATCTCAAAAACAAAAGATTTTAAACATATTTCTTTATTTTTTTTTAAGATTCCCTTATAATAAATACCTTTTTTTGAGCCCAAGAATCCAAAAAGGAAATAAAATACAGGGTGTTCCATAAGAAAAAATATAACTTTGGTGTGGATCTTAGTTCTGAAACACCCTGTATATTTCAAAATAATTTTAAATTGTGCACATTGTCTCCCCACATATATCCATAAAACATTCTTCAT